GAGTAATAAGCAACCTGTTTTTTAAAAATGCAACTTTTATTTATTTTAATAGTGTGATCACATAGCACTAAAGAAGTTACATTCTTTTCCTGGCTCTTGCCTTATGTTGCATTATTTTTATTTATATAAATTTCTTTTTTGGGATCCCTGGGTGGCGCAGCGGTTTGGTGCCTGCCTTTGGCCCGGGGCGCGATCCTGGAGACCCGGGATCGAATCCCACGTCGGGCTTCCGGTGCCTGGAGCCTGCTTCTCCCTCTGCCTGTGTCTCTGCCTCTCTCTCTCTCTGTGGCTATCATAAATAAATAAATAAATAAATAAATAAATAAATAAATAAATAAATAAATTTCTTTTTCAATCTAGATAGGCTATGCCTTGAAGGCAAAGGCTACCATATCTCACACCTTTTTATATTCCTATAGCGAGTATCTCCCAGAAATTGGTCTTTAATGTAGTGAAAAAAAGTGCAGAAGATGATCTTGAGCTCAAGTTTCAAATCTACCACTAATCATTGGTCTGACTTAAAACAAGTTCCATTACCACATCTGTGAGTTAGGCATCATAATATCAGCTCCTCACACTGTTGTAAAGAACAAACAAACTTAAGTGTAAAGGGCATTTTTTAAGAATGGGAAGAAAGGCTTTATAAATATTAGCTATTATCATGATAAAGAAATGGAGGACAGAGGGAGGATATTCTTTCTTCAAGGAAGGGATATCTCATCTTACCCTTTGGTTTAAATGTCATCTTTTCATAACTGTCCCACTGATCTTTTTCTTTTTTTTTTTGTTTTTTCTTTTTTTTTAGTAAAAAAGGATTGTCATTGATGTATCTTTGTAGCTAGATACTGAAGTGAGCTTTTAAGGAACTTGTTAAAGATTTGTGTTGGAAAGAATATAGAAAAAAAAGGAAAGAATATAGCTTCCCAATTAAAAACAAAGTCCTTGGGATAACAGGTTGTGAAATTCTATTTGTGGTGTGGGCTTCTGCAATTATTACAGGAGATGGCTGCCTAATGAATTGAAAAGAAAAGTGCTTTTAGCATTAGGTCATGATAGAGGTATCAGAACAGGGGCATTTAGGACAAGAGGATTCTACAGAGAAAAAGAAATATGCCACAATCCATAACATGGTGAGGAGTACAGGGGCAGGTTTTAAAAATAAATTGTCCCACCCTTCACTTTACTTGGCAAGAAATGCGAATATTTGAGAAAATAACAGTGAATGCTTATAGTTCTTCACTTACTATGGAAGATTGCAGAAAACTAGAAGGTTAAAAGAGTATGCATGAACAAAAAATAGTTTCCAAAGAGTATCTGTGTTTAATCAGGCACTAAAGATAAGGAACGTCAATATTTGGAGTTTTCTTCTACAACATTTCAGTTACCAAAATATTTGAGCAGGCTATCCTGATTCCCCTATTGAAAATTAAGTCCCCCTTTCTTTAAAGCACTTTAACATTTTAAGCTTTTTGTATGGTACTTACCATAATGTGCATTGTTTATAGCAAGTAATAGTTGACATTTCCATTACTGAGTTATAAGCTGCTTGAGGACAGGAGCCCAAGTCTTACCTTTATATTCTTCTAGATCCCTTTAGGATCTTCAAATTAATGCATAATGATTGCGAGTAAAATGGAATTCAAAGAAAGATTCCTGTAATAATATTGTGAAAATGAAACAAAGCCTTGTATTATCTCAGCGATGAGAAATCCTTCAAGGCTATTGTCATCTCAGCTCTATTATAAGGACACAGGTGTTGAGCATTGGCAACTACTATAGTCCATTAATCACCACAGCATTCTGGTATCTCTATTTTCAGAACCAGAGTGATAATATTGGAGGTAGATGCCATTTTGTATTCATTTCCCTTTCTCATAAATGGGACTTGTAATAAGATGACATAAAGTTTCTGGAGGTACTTTCCCCCTCTGTTTAACTTGGTATGAAGCACTCGGTTGGCATGGAATCCACTGTTAATAAGTCAATGGCCTATAATGTAGCTGCTTATCCAAACATGACTTCAAAAGGGAAGACCAGTTGAAATTTTTAAGTAATATTGATCACCTAGTCAGATAGAGTGAAAATCTCAAACCTTCAATTGTTAATTGTTAATCAGTTGAAAAGTGACTTCAGGTTTCGTTGGTGAGTATTTTCTAGATAGTTTTAACCTAATAAGTAAAAACTATTCAAAGGACAATGGTTGTATATTTTAGTAGTTGAAAAAAAAAAACAGAGATATTTTTAAAAGCTAAAATAGTTTGGATTACTATGCAGCATTTCATTGGTATTGCTACAGGCTATAATCATCCTGCTTTAATGGTTCTCTCCTTTTAAAAATGAATTCATAATGCTTTGTAACATTAAAATTATTAGAAACATGCATATAATGGCAACGATAATGTTAATATACACTTAAATAGAGCTTTACAGTTCACAAAGCAGGAACAGCAATGCTAGAATGCTTTGCTAACAGCAAAGCAATATGTCTCCAACTGGGGAAGTCCCTTGAGGGTTATAAAGAAGTCCAAGGGGATCCAGGAGGCCAAAGTGGCTATTTGAAAGAAGAGAATAGCAAAAATCATAGTAGGTTTTTAGAGGAGGCTTTAGGGTCACTGCTATCTCTCTGTTACTATAGATTTAGACCCAGAAAGCAAAAAGTAAATATGAAAGTTGGTGATTAAGGGTAAACAGAATATGCCAACCCCAATAGGCTACTTTGGTATATTGATGATTTTGAGCTGTAAGCACTTGAAAAATATCAAATGCAGGGAGAGGCTTTCTCTAAACAACCCTTATTTACCTAAAGATAAATCCTCAAATAGTAACTTAAGTTCATAAATTCCCTTCCTGGGAGTTTCATCAGTTATGAATGACTTTCATAACAAAAGAAGAGACTAAAAGTGATCACCACATCCAGATAGACTTTGTCACAAAATATCACACCTTCCATTTCTTCTACCAAAGGCCCTTCATCTTTCATAAATATGATTTACTCTCCCCTAAGAGGCCTTTCCAAAGGCCCTTTCCTTTCCAAATTAGATGACTTTTAATCCTGAATCCTAAAGCCACCTCTTTGAGTTACTCATTTTTTCCAGGATATTTCCCATGTATACATAAGGAATACATGTTGATAAAAATTTGCACATAAATACTGATTGTTAGAGGAAGTAATATCAGCAACATGAGGGAATAGGAGCTCGTTTCATAGAAACAACAATTTGGCACCATCCATGAACAAAATACTTTTGTGAGAACTTTGGGGTCTTGGTTGTGAAATCCTGGCATAATCTAAGGCTGAGTAAGAATGCTTTTAAGAGGGGTACCTGGGTAGCTCAGTCAGATAAGCATCCAACTTTTCATTTCAGCTTAGGTCATAATCTCAAGGTCTTGAAACCAAGCCCCATGTTGGGCTCCACACTGGGCATGAAGCCTGCTTAAGATTCTCTTTCTCGGGATCCCTGGGTGGTGCAGCGGTTTGGCGCCTGCCTTTGGCCCAGGGCGCGATCCTGGAGACCCGGGATCGAATCCCACATCGGGCTCCCAGTGTATGGAGTCTGCTTCTCCCTCTGCCTGTGTCTCTGCCTCTCTCTCTCTCTCTGTGACTATCATAAATAAAATTAAAAAAAAAAAAAAAGATTCTCTTTCTCTCTCTCTCTCTCCTTTCCTATACCCACCCCCCCTTAAAAAAATAAAGAATTCTTTCAAGAGACAGGGCTATATCTCAATGCTTGGCCAACCAACTGTTGTCCTGTCTACATTCCTGAAAGCAGCCTATCCCCTGAGAACTTGACTCTAGTACAACAAAGGTACAAGACAAATATGCTCATTTTCACTGCTTCTATTCAACATAGTACTGGAAGTCCCAGCCAGAGCAATTAGACAGGAAAAAGAAATAAAAGTATCCAAATCAAAAAGGTAGAAGTCAAATTATCTCTATTTGAAGATGATAAGATTGTACTTAAAGATTTATTTATTTGAGAGAAAGAGCATATGCAAGTGGTGGGAAGGGCAGAGGCAGAGAATCCCCAAGCAGGCTTCGGGCTGGGTGGGGAGCCCTGTGGGAAGCTCCATGTGGAGCTCAAACTCATGACTCATGAGATCACTACCTAAGCTGAAACCAAGAATTGGGAGCTCAACTGACTGAGACACCTAGGTACCCCTATATATTTTTAAAATTAATCTTAAGATTGCTTTTTATTTTTGATAAATTCATAATTTAGGGGGGAAAGTCACACTCATAAATAAAAGATAATCACTAAAAGGTAAACAACCCAGAATAAAGTTATCTTCCCTAAATGATGATAGAGAAGATTGTATAATTATTTGTTCCTTATTGCAATGACCACCAAAGGTTTTTCATCTATGTCCTATAGCAAAATTGCCATAGACCACATTTGGCAACAGATGAATTTAGAATAACTCAAGTTAGGAAATATATCTTGCCAACGGGGTACTGTTGATTATTTTTCTTCAGTGCGAGTTGGACTTGCAACATGCATTTAGCATATAGGTCATGTGCAAATAGATCATACCTATATCGGATGAATACAAAAGCCTACCTGGCTTAGAAGCCTGGAACCTGAAGGAGCCAGCATCTCTTGTAACAACTTGAAAAGTATAACTTCCAGGTTCCCAAAGAGAGAGGTAGAATTCCAAGAATTACTGCACTCAGGGAAGCTCAAAGACATGGCTTCTTTCCATACATACATTTATTGTACTCCCAGTCCAGGTGACATTTACCACTGAAGGGTCATTTTACTATAAGCTATGTTGCCTGGAAACATAGTTAACATTCTACTTTAATCACATTTCTTGGATAACAGAGCTATAAATTAACCAAAAGTCAAATTCTCATTCAGAATAGGTATTCAAAAATATAGGTCCTATAATGTTTTACACAATGAGATATACACAAATGTAATATGTTTTACCTTACCTATATAACTTAAAATTCCAACCTTAAATCCTATTTTCTTCTTTTGCTCTCCATATTTTCACAGGTAAAATATGGAAATTATGCCTTTGTATGGGATGCAGCTGTATTGGAATATGTGGCTATCAATGATCCAGATTGTTCATTTTACACCATCGGGAATACTGTTGCTGATCGGGGATATGGAATTGCACTACAACATGGCAGTCCTTACAGGGATGTTTTTTCACAGAGGTAAGATTTGCATGTGATCCAAATAAGGAGAGACAAAAAACAGAAAAAGAAAATCCACTTGGTTACCCATGTAGTTTTATTACATTTTGTTCTCTTCATTTGGAAAAGCAAAATAAGCAACAATAATAAAAGGTAGTTATAAATGTTATTTAATAAGACTTTAATTTCCTAAAGTATGTACTGAATTATTTTTTTCATAAAAAGGAAAAAATATTGCTGCATATAACTGGTTTTACTCCAAAAAATTGATATACAAAAGAAAGTAGTATGTCAATAATTTCTTTAGAAGTTAATTAACAGTTTAGTCTCTTGAGTTTTTAGGGACTAAATATCATAGAGTTAGAAAATTATTTCATTTCTAAGAATACCAAAGCATAAAACTAACTTAAGGACTGAGTCAAAGTTCTGATGTACTGAAGTACATAATGGTAGGGATGTTCCCATCTGAATTTTGCAAAGGAAAAGGATAAGAATTTAAGAGTCCCTCACCTTGTGTCAAAGTACAGGAGACTTTGTCATGGAATTTAGAAGATGGTTGATTAAGAAATTATATCCATCCTCAAATTAGAATTTTCTTTTATGAGCTTAAGAAAAAAGGTTTTGAAATGTATATTTTAGATTAACTATGTATTTGAAGGACTTGGGCCTGGGAGGCATTCCCAAAGATTACTGCATTTCATTCTATCTATTACCAAACAAATGTGGGGCCTAAGAGAGAGTGGTATCTTTCAGGTAGAAGTGTATTTCATTTGAAACTGGTAGTGCATTTTGTTTATTTTCTAGATCTTTCTATTTTCTAAAAGCCAATGCTAGACCAAGAGGGTAGTACCAGGAAATTAAGGCCCCAAATTTCAAGCTATTTGAGTTACATCATTCCTTCAAATTTTAGGATAGCAAAAAGCCAGGTATCTTGTGTTAAACAAATGCAAACAAATGAACAAAAAACACACAAAACAAAACAAAAACCAAGTCAGTAGTCCAGAAGTTGTTAAAACTCTTCCATTAGCTGAGAAAAAAAAATGTAGGCCTCTCTCCTTATCTGGTAGAATGGAAGTTGGATTAAGCCCAAAATCTTGTATGAGTCAGCCTTTCTGTGTAGCAAACAACCCCAAAGTATCAGTGACTTTTTTGCATTCATGAAACGTAGGGCTGCAATTTGGCAAAGCTGTGCCACAAGCTGCAGGTCACCTGCAGGTCTTCCTGTGCAGCTTCTCATTCCAGGGCCTGACTGGAAAAGTGGCCCAATCCAAGACAAGCTGTTTCATGACAATGAGTAGTTGTAAAAGGGGCTGCCTGAAACCTGCAGTGTTTCTTGTGCTTCTTGCATGGATGTGGCATATGTCACATCTGCCCACAAACCACTAACAAAAGAGAGTCTCAGGGATCCCTGGGTGGTTCAGTGGTTTAGCGCCTGCCTTTGGCCCAGGGCGTGATTCTCGGGCTCCCGGCATGGAGCCTGCTTCTCCCTCCTCCTGTATCTCTGCCTCTTTCTCTCTCTCTCTCTCTCTCTCTGTATGTCTATCATGAATAAATAAATAAATACATCTTTAAACAAAAAGAGAGAGAGAGAGAGAGAGAGTCTCATGGTGAAGCTCAAATTGATGGGGTGAGGCGCTGTACTTCACATAAAGGGAAGAGAGTAGTAAATAATTATGAACAATAATAGAATCACCCGGTGGTCCCTTATGGCTCTAAAAATAATCTAAAAATGACAAAGATGAAATAAGCATAAATTGGGAGAGAGGCCTACATTTTTTTTTTCTCAGCTAATGGAAGAGTTTTAACAACTTCTGGACTACTGACTTGGTTTTTGTTTTGTTTTGTGTGCTTTTTGTTCATTTGTTTGCATTTGTTTAACACAAGATACCTGGCTTTTTTGCTATCCTAAAATTTGAAGGAATGATGTAACTCAAATAGCTTGATATTTGGGGCCTTAATTTCCTGGTACTATCCTCTTGGTCTGGCATTGGCTTTTAGGGAAAAAAAAAAAAAAAAAAAAAAAAAAAATATATATATATATATATATATATATATATATATATATCACCACCCTGAGATATATATATCAGTATTGCTTGTTTATATTGCAGTAAATTGTGTAGTTGAGAAATTGAAAGAATTGAATATTATATGGAATAAAGAGTTAATCAAAGGAAAACATGAATGAAAGCTCTCCAGAGAAGGTGAGCCCTGAATCTGACCTTGAAAGATTAGTAGACAATAATTAGGCTGAAAGGAAAAAATCGATCATTCTCGGAGAAACGATGAAAACAACAGGATAGAAGTAGGAGAGAGCAGAATCTGTTGAAGAGCAACAGGGGCAACGAGTTCATTTGAAAGGAAATCTGAAGTTTGGAAGTCATATCATAGCCCACAAGCAGCTATGAGAAGTTTTGTCCATGCTGGAGCTCAGGATAAATAGAAGGTGGTATTTAAGGGATGATTCATCCAACTTTGCCATGAAGGATAGGTTAGGATTGGCAAAGACTAGAGCAAACCTGGAAGCATGAGACAAGGAAGGCCTAGTCCAGAACTGGGCAACGGGGAATGAGGAGGAAGGGACAAATAGAAGAGATCCTTCAGGCAAAGAGGCACCATTGTTTTTATTAACTTAGAAGTAAAGATGGAAAGCATAATAGAATGAAGGGGATGCCAGGGTTTATGGAGAAAGACCGGCAGAAAAGTCTAATGGGTACTTAAAATGAACCATGTAGTTGAAAAAAAGATTATTTATTCCTTAGTTGTGGTTAATTGGGTTTTTCTTCACTACAGACTTTTGTTGTTGTTGTTGTTGTTGTTTCCAGACCTGATTTCCAGGTCTTTTATGCAAAAAAAGAAGCCAATAAAATCAATACACAAACATAATAGCAATTAAAGAAATATTTAATAAATTACCCTAAGTGTTCTGTTTCTTATTATCCCTGTGGTGCCTTACCTAGGAGAGATTTTAATTCTGAGAAAGTACACTCCAGTGAACTGCTGAAAAATAATATTAAACATTGAGCATTATTTTTCCTTTGATTTGCATTATGGATCTAGACAATTTAAATTCTCCCTTTCTGTGGAGTTCCTTAATAATGACATCTGTATCCTGGTTCCCTGGACATCTGGAAGAAGAGAGATCAGGAAAGAAAAACCTTCTGGCAATTGTTGATGTGCCAACTTATCTCTTTATACATGTGTGCCACATTTATCTATTACCCGAACTCTCTCCCTAAATTCAGAAAATAGCTGCTGTCATTTTTTTTATTCTATGACCATTAGGAAAAAGAGATCTCTTTTATTAACTGATTTTAAAAATTATAAAGACCATAAAATTTAATCACTGTAGTACACCTTAGAAATTATTATAAACAACTCTAATATATCAAATTTCCTAGGCCCTTGATTACACTAGATCACTGATTACTACTGTAATTAATTTCAATGAAAATGAAAGTATACAGGGTGATTTTTTTTTATTAAAGATTTTATTTGTTTGTTTATAGAACAGAAATAGGGTGAGGGACAGAAAGAGAGGGAGAGGGAGAATCTCAAACAGTTTTCATGCTAAGTGCAGAGCCCCATGCCAGGCTCCATCTCACCATCCTGAGATCATGACCTGAGCTGAAATCAAGAGTCAGACACTTAACCAACTGCCACCCAGGCATCACCAGGGTGATTTTTATATAGTAAATACTAATTATTTCTCAGGTGACTATATGCTTATACCACAACTCATGAAACATTAGAGTACTTAAATAGACAATAAATATTAATATATAAAATAAATATTATATATTGACATAGTAGCTACATGCATTATCTACTATCTGCCCAGTATCTTATGTGCTTGCATACTTTAATGACACTCCAAAACAATCATACAAAATGTCATAAATTTGTTTATTACACCCTTGCATATTGGTGCACAACTATTATACTACAAGTGCATGCACCAAGTAGATGACCTGAGTTTTGGCAAGCATTAAGTTAGGCATCAGACACATGGTCTTTAGTGATATACTCACTTTTATAATTGTATATTTGTAGACACAGGCAGGAATGACTTTTAAGGACTGGTAAGTGCTACAATATATATATTCATAGATTTGGATACAGGAGTTTTGTTTCTTTAGTCTGCACAAATACTAGATAACTTGGTGGCAGATGTTAAAGTATTATATATAATTATATAATCACATCAGATACGTGAGAGTTCTACTATGGTGAGTAATGTTTCCAGTGAATTCTCTGACTCTGTTTGTTCATCAAATATTTATGTGGCCCTGTCTTTTTATAGTTCTTCATATACAAAAATTATTTAGTCAAAAGTCGTCACATTAAAAACATTTAAGAGAAGAGAACTGAATTTTTCAGTGATATCATTATACTTTTAATAAAATAAACTCCAGTGTTGATTTTAGAATCTTAACTATTCATAAAACTAAGAATATGATAAAAATATTTATTGAGCATTTGGTATGATCTCATTTCTGTTCTTAAATCTTAATGGATATCAGGGAATAATTAATTCGTGAGTTTAATTTCATACTTCATCAGTAAAATGTCCCTTTTGGCCTCTTGGCTTCTATCCCTAAACTTTAGGAATGAACCACCTCGTCACAGAAACAAGGACATATTTCAAACTGAATGGAGAATGATTTTGTTGGATTCGTGATATTGGTACAGATGCATAAATAATATTTCAATCTAGTCATAGAATTTTAAATTTTTACAAATATAATGAATTTTAGAATTTTTCATCAAGGATGAAACTAAAATAGCACAAAGGCTAAATTATTTAGAATCACAAGAAACAATACGAGTGGAAAAATTTCAAGAATCCTAATTTCATGTCCAGTTTTCTCATCATCATGCACCCTGTCTTCCCTCAATATTCTCTTAAAAGCATATTAGAATAATATTAAACATATTATATGACGTTTACTGCTTGCCATATTTTGAGTTTTTACATGTAACGATCTATGAGGTAAGTACTATAGTATCCTCATTTTACA